TTTTTTTTTCGTTGTTCTTGCTGTTTTGTTTTTTAAGACCTGTTTAACTTCTGTTTTAACCTGGGTGATGTACCTGTGGTAGATTCTGGTGAGATGGGATACACAACATGCTTCAACTACTCTAGCCAAAGAGGGCTCCTTCAGGAAACAATTTATTTCAGTTTCTACCAAAATTACATGGCTGATATTAATCTGAACATATATTCTAAATTTACTGCTGAGACTCTTAATTCTGGAAGCATAACTATTTTAAAATGTTAAACAACAGTACCAAATTGAAAGGTTTTCATCACTGTTTTATATTTCCAGTGTTTTGTGGAAGCTGATTTAGCTGGGAAAGTAACTGGAACAGCACCTTCATCTTGAGAGAAAAGACTTGTGGGCTTAGTAGGCACACTGTGCTCTGCAGGTATTGGAGTTACTGAGTTCAGGCATTTGCTTGATGTTAAATGCCTCTTGGGGAGGGGGAAAGAGACCTTGTGTGCATGGTAAGGCTGGATGTTGGAAAAGGACTGGTTTGGGTATGTGTACACAAGACTTCTGTGAGTGAAGAGTGCTGCAGAAAGAAAATATCTCAAAATAGGTCACCATGATTCTTGCCTGGCTTTACAACTCTCAGGTAAAATAGTGCATGGGAACAGATTGTGGGCTGAGCCAGGTAAACTGGGTTGCCAGGTCAGATCAGTAGCTGGGTATCTGTGGTCTGATTGACTACATGAGAGAGCTGGCTTTAAGACCTTGTACACTGAGATCAATGTCCAAAGGAGCATTGACAATGTCTGTTGGCGGCCACCTCCATGGACTTAAGAGTCTTTGGGGAACTCCTTAACCAAGACAGTACCAAGGACTTGCAATGTTCTGGTTTGTTTTCAACTACATAGCTAACCTGCACTTTCAGCTGTCTGTCTTCAGGTATGCCACAACTCAAGAGAACGTGGAGCTACAGAACATACACAGTCAAGTAGCTCAAGGCTTCACTTGTGCCTAGAGTAATGTCACACCTATAGGAGAGGAATTCCAGTCTGTCTTGTCAAGTTTCTCTGGTACCATAACCTTAATCCACAGACATACTAGAATTCTTCTTCATCATTTTACAGAGGAGCTTCTGCCTTTTCAGTTTGGGCTAGTGTCTCTGTCCTCTGGCTTTGAAAGCTGAGCTGTGGCCCTGGCTGTGAAGTTGATCAGGAGTAAAAACAAACATCAAACAAGAAAACCCCAACCTTGTCTTCTGTCCTTCCAAAACCTGCTTCACTGTGCAAGCCCTTAGAATGTTCTACAGGTGTAGCTGAGGAGATGGCAAGCAAGGCAAGCTGATGCAGTAGTGCAGGAAGCTGTGTAGCACTGCCCTGAGATTATTTCTGTGAGCAACCTGCCTGTTAATGCTAACTGTACAACCTTCCCTACAGATTCTCTGAACTGAGAGGAGAATAGATTTGTGCAAGTCTCTAATGCTGCCCTTGTTAACAGAGGATGATGCATGGGGCACTGGAAATGACTTTGTTGCCAGGCTCAGGTTAAGAGTCCAATCTAATACTGCTGCTGAACTGGTTGGTCTTTCCTGCTTCAGTTTCACTCCAAAATAATCAGTGTCCTGAGACTAACACTGGTTTGTCTTAATTGCTGTCTCATTTGTCATTGCCAAGAATGGCTACCAGGGGTGTGTGCATATCTTACACTATATTTTGTCAGAACTTTTTGGATCAGCTTGTGAAGCAAGACTGAACATGATGAGAGCAGATAATATGGAGAGCTCTGGGAAGACATCTGTGCAAGGAGATCATGTTACCTTATCATTATCTCCACCCTAACTTTCTAGAATCAGTCTTAAAGCTGGATGTGCAGGCAGAAAGGAAAGTCATGGAAATCATAACTGACTTCAGTAAGTTATATAAGTTGTAGCTTGGGCTATGGAGAAGAGGCTAGAACAAGGATTTTCAGTCTGTACAGTTGTTAGAAGCTCCTGGACTAGTGCTGAATCTCACAAAAAGCAAGCAGGAAAAACCAAGCCTAACACATCAGAGCTTTACATTTGCTATGGCTTGCTTGTTCTGGGAACTCTCACTCAGCTGGACAGCTTCTCCAGAAGCCTTACCTAGGACTTGGGCTGTCCAGTCTCTGGGTTTTGTGCTGGACAAAATCTGCTGGCTGCACAAAACCCAACCACTGTGTAACTTACTAAAGAGGCTGCTATTAAAAATAATGTAGAAGCTTGTATTTTTTATAAAGCTTTGTACTGTAACGTAGCTTGAGATACTCTGAAGTGTTCATATGCAGTGGCTGGCTGGGTGAAACGTCAGGCTGAAAGTTCAGATGCCGTACATAGCTGCCACATGGAGCCATGGGGCTCTTTCTGCTTAGTCATTTTTGTTGATTCTGCCTTGCTTTTGGATTGGTGAAAGTCTCTTGGCTTATATAAAGGCAGTTTTAGTGAGTGTGGGAACATCGGTAGCTTGATGTAAACTAAACACTGACACTGGAAGCAGAGCTGGTGGTGCTGTGCTGGCTGAAGGTTAAGGCAGTGCTGACAGTTCTGCTCTAGTGAGAGTAAACCCCTGAAGGAGCACTGGGTGATGTTGGCAGGGCGTGTGGGATGGTGGGCACTGGACAGGAAAGTCTGTTCTGGACTTAAACTGCTTCTCTGGATTATGGCCCTTTAGTCGTCCTCACCTCCCAAATCAGGTATTGGCTCAGGACTGGGATTAAAGGAACTGAATGTCTAATTTATAAGCAGACACAGGGTTCTGTTCCTAGCATGTTGCTGCTTGGCAGCTGCCCAGGTTTGAGCTGCTTTGGCTGTTGGCTGCTGCTTGAGCTGCAAAGGACTCTACCTGAAACTGCTTCTAGACTGAATGTAAGATGAATAGAAATTTTTCCTCACGGAGGAAAAAAAAATCAAACTATTAGAAATGCAAAAAATATAGGCAGAAATGGTAAACCACAGAGTGTAATATACAGTGGTAGCAAGTAAATTGCATTTATTTAGGCATGGAAATGTGTTAATGTACTAATTTACATTTAAAAAGTACAGCATACCTTTAGCTGAACAAGAAATCTCAAAGTAAAATGAAGTGTTGAAAAAACAATGTGGAGGGATCCAGTTCCTTACAGGTGTCTGACTTCTCTGCTCTTCTAGGATTTGTAGGCTAGTGGGATTTGAATCCTTTGCTTTGTGGAGCATATTTATCATCCGTGTGTTTGTCTAGGAAGACTGCAGCTCGGGCTGGAAGCAGTTAACTGCTGGGGCTGGCAGGAGGTGGCAGATGCAGAGAACAGGTGTCTGGTTCTCCTGAGCACAGTGTCACTGTCACCAGAGGGCAGGGTTGGTGGGCAGCAGTCCCTGTGCCTGGCAGCAGAGCTGGGTGCCTGTGGGCACAGTGTGTGCACGCTCCTCTCCTGCCACGCTGGCACTGCTGTTCATCTGGGATTTCGGTGTGTGGACTTCAGTACTGTGTGAGTCTCAGCACATCTCAGGAGGAGATAGGTAAGAGAGAGGTGGTACTACTAGTTAACTTTTCTGCTGTGCAAATTTGGCTGTATCTAGGGGAAAAAAGCCCCCAAACAAACCCTAAGCTTCGGTGTTTGCAGGATTTAATGAGCAGCAGCTCTTAGCTATCCATGCTGAAGCAGCCAAGGATGATGTTCTTGTGTCCCAGTGCAAAACTTTCCTGACACTTACTTTTTGTCTGCCAACCAGCCATTAGTTGATGTTCAGTTGAGCATAAATAATCTGGATGGAAAAGCTCTTTTGAACTTGCCTGTGGTAGTTCTACATACCTCTAGTGGAGAAGGTGCCTGGGCTCATGTCCATTATTCTACCTCAAGTATTTGTGGAAGCAGTAGCTGTTTGAACTCTGCTTCAGTGTTGCTGCTGTGGAAGCAAAGTGACAATCTTTTACAAGCAGAGACTGATGGCACCTCCTGTAAAAGAAGTAATGTCATAATTTGCTTAATAGGCAACATCCACTAAGCAAACTTCCACTGCTGTAACTGAAAACTTCTGGCAACAGTTGTCCTTTTCATACAGTTTACAGATTCTCTGCATTGCAAGAGTTGGCATCCAGCAGTCTTGTTCCTTCTCACAAGATCTCTTGCAGTTTAGTGCTGCAGAGGTCTTAGGTGTGAGGCAGTGCAAGTGCTGGCTTTCACTGGGAACCAGCACATCAAACTGCTTGGAAGGGCTTGAGAAGAAAAATTATTTGGAGGTTGAGACACATGTAAAGAGAAAATGAAATGGCACGAATCAAGATACAGAATAAAATGTGTGTTTGACTCGGAAACAGTGTGGTATATTTAGATAGAAGCAGGCTGAATTTGCCAGAGTTTTAACTCTTGGCAGTCTTGTTTAGTCTTAGCACTGAGAAGTGGTAACTAGGAAATGATAAGGAAGCTAAATGTGAGCACCTCGAGTTACACAGGACTTGGTATAAACCCTTTTCTCCCTGTGGAGGTGCAGAAATGGGGGAACTTGTGTTTTGGAGGCTTAAACTCAAGTCTAAAAATCTTAAGGTGAGGTACTATAATATTGGCACTCTTTCTGTTGACTGCTGTAGTTGTGCTGGATATCTGGTGTTACAGTACTAAGGCAGTATCTGAAAGGATGACTTCAGTGTTCAGAACAGATGGCTTTTTTGTACAAGCAGTAGACAATTTTTTTTTTATAAAATCCTGCATGAAAATCAGTTTACATTCAACTGCTGATGTGCTGGAACTCTTAATATCTGATGCTGGAAGAATGTATGTACTAGGGGGGTGGTGAGGGACTGGTGAAGTCCTTGCTTCATGAGAGACAACTGTTGAGTCTCTCTGCCCCTTTCATGTAGAATTAAACAGAACTGCTACTCAAGCTCATGCAGCTGTTTCCACAAAGTTTCATAGATGGCAGATGGTGAAAACTGGTCTGCTTAGTGGAGGTGTGGCCATGCTGTAGTTTCTGGTTTTGAAGCTTGAATCTTGGTTAAATAGCCAGTGACCTTTTGTCTCAGGCACTGTCTTGAGACAACATGATTGGGTCAATACCTGAGTCCTGTCCTGCAACTCAGAGTGAGTGGTTGACCTGATCTATTGACTAAACCCCTGCTGAATAGCTTGAAAGAAAAACCCTTACAATACATTTCTTGGGATTTTAGCATGGAATCACTTATGTGGATAAATTAGACTCTGGATTACCAAGGCCCAAACAAAGCTGGCCTACCAAGGCTGGAGTTCCTGTTATCTGCTTCTTCAGGACCTTGGTACTTCATTTGAGTTGAGCACTTTCTTTTCCCCATGTGGACTTAGACTCTTCTGTGCAGGGCTTGAATTGATTCTTCTTGCATTGTTTTTACCTGTTCCCAAGGTGGTTAAGAATTTAACTGGCAACCAGTGACTGCAAGCTCACAGGCATTTGCCCGTAGGCAGAGCAGTCTGGACTTTCTGGCAGCCTGCTCTCCATAGAGGTATGAGGCTCTCACTGCATCTACCTGAGGGTGTTGTAAGGACCTCTGAACTTCAGTTTGTAATGCCTAGAAATCAACACAGTTCCACTGTGGTGTCTACAGAGGGGAATGTGTAGACTAACTGTACTGTGGAATACAATAATGAGGGCTGTGTAATCTCTGACAAGATTTAAAGTAAGTGCAGTAGTAATTGTAAAATAAAAATCCCTGATTTAACCTGGAAATTACTGACCAGTTGAAGGAATAACTTTTTTTTCCCCCTTCCCCTTACAGTAAACACCCTGGATTCATCAAGACTTTGTACTATTGGAAATACTGGATCAGAAACTTCAGTATGATATCAATATGGCATTTAAATTAGTTTTTGACCCCAAGCTGTGGTTTAAGATGGGTGAAGTCCCTCAGGAGGTACCACACTGCTGAGGGTTCTGGGCTGTTACAGTCACGTTGTGGAGGTGTGAGCAAAGCCAGGAAATGTGTATCACAGACACCTAAAGTCACTCTCAAATTCTTTCCCCCACAGAGCTCAACAAGAATCCAGTGGAAGGCTTTTCAGCAGGCTTGATAGATGACAATGATCTTTATCGATGGGAAGTCCTGATCATTGGTCCTCCAGATACACTATAGTAAGTACTGATACTTATACACAACTGAAGTGAACTTGGATTTACTGGTTCTAGCCTGGTCTGAGCAAGTAGAAGTTAACATGAATTTCCATACTATGTTAGGTAATGCTGTTCTGTTGGTAGTAAAATACCTGTAAATAGCTGAATTTGCTATATAGAAGTTCTAAACTGCTTTGGGAAAGTGCAATGCTGGTCCTCCTGTGTAGAAATTGGGAAGAACAGGTTATACTTAGAGGCACCTCCTGTTTTTCTTATGCATTTAAGGCAGGTGTAATCCACTACTTGCTGTTACTGCTGTGATGCTCTAGTTCAACCAGTGGTACAAGTTCAAACCATTACAGCTTCATGCTGGTAATTGTAGGGGAGTACTCAAGAGGGATGTAGTTGGGGAAACTATAGCAGACCATGGAATAAGCCTCAAGTGCTGTCAGTTTGAGGTGAGAGAACTTCCTAGTATGACCTACGAGTATTTCAGTATTCATCCACTGTGAATTGCTGGCAAATCTTGCACAGTGGGCTTCAGAAAGCTTCCCTCTTTATCCTAAGGACTGGGTTCTTTAGTTGGCATTTGGACACAAACCCATGCAGTTCACACAGTAACTATTTTTTTTTTCTTTTTCCTGGACTTTAAGCTTGCTGTGTTTTTGCACTGCTGTGTACCTGAAGCACTCAGGCATGTGCAGGGTGGTTTGTTTGGGGGTTTTGGTGTTTTTTTTTGTTGCTTCTTTGTATTTTTTAAAAAGAGCTCTGGCTCATGGAGAGATTGGTTTTCTCTTTTTCATAGAGGTTATATTTGATTATCTACATTCTGGGAAAAGGCTCTATGCCTGGAAGAGGTCAGTTTAAAGTGTAGCTCTTGAAGATGAACTCTGTTCTCCTTCATTAAGCTGTTCAGTGGTAAATTACTGATACAAAAAGCCTAGTGACATTTACTTGAGGTCAATCTTAGTTCCAACATAAAGTTGTTGTATACCTGTCTGCAGGCTTCTCAATGTGTACTTAAGCCCAGTAATGAAATTGCTTTGCTTCTCCTGAAGCTTACTACATTTTGATTTTTCAAGTCTTGCTTGAGATTGAATTCTCCAGCTTCTGTTGACCTCTTTTGAACACTCTTGTAGTGGCTCCATTGTATTCTTATGGCCATTTTATAAGTGTTACAGTACTATAGTCAATAAAGAAATACTGCTTCTAATTGAACCTCTTCTTACATGTTAAAAATTTGAATAGCTTTTTTTTCCCTCCATTTCAGTAAAGTACTGAACTTGTTTTGAGGCTTTTTAGATGAGAAGTTCTGTTCTGTTCCAGTCCCTAGTTGCTGTTTTTCAGGGTAGCTATTATACTGAAGTCCTTCCTCCCTGGTCTGTTCTATGATGACAGTGGAACACAGTAGTTTAAAATTTTAACCTTTAGTCTCATTCTTTGTCCTTTATTCAGAGTTTACCCAAAAATACTTTAGACTCAGTGCATGGCTTTACTGACAGAGACCCCTTTATCAGGAATATTGCTAGAAATGGCACTGATCTCCCTTAATGGACAACTGTACTTCATTAACTGCTTTCTGATGTCTGTCCAGTTAAAGAGCTGTATTTATAGGCAGTTGAGGAGGGGCAAACAGGGGTGCCATACAGCCTAGTAGCTTTAGGATCTGCTCCTTTAAAAAGGGAAAGAAGAACTTCTGACTTTGAAAGAAAGGACTTAACTGGTTTGGGGCTCTCAACAAATGTAATCTAATTATGTCTTGACTAGTATGGATGTTAAAATAGCCAGTTTCTGGGTTTCTTATCTTTGCCAGGATCAAGGATTCTTTGGGAGCTGCCTGCCTTCTCTAAAACTTGTGGGAAGTAAATGTTGTGGGTTCCCATCCCCTCAGCTGCTTTATTTTGAGAGCCAAGTCACTCAGACCCAGTGCTGTTTGGGTTGTTGGGTTTTGGGGGTTATTTTGAGACACTTACTAGAATTGCACATCTTTTGTTAGTGGTGGTAAAACTTATTTTTCTCAGTAGCCTGTGGGCTTTGGATACTGACTCCTACTCCTTTACAAACAGGAAAAAAAATTGCACTGAGCAACTTTCTTTTATGCCACTACTTTTTGTGTGCATGGCTACTGAGGGGTAACTTGTCATGCTGCACATCTTGTGCCACCTTCTTTGGAGGTTGTTTCAGTTTTTGCAATCTCAATTTTTGTTATGAATGTCAATTATAAGAAATTATCAGGGTAAATACTTCAGTACTTCAGCTACCATTTAATATATGGGCCTTCCTGCTTTTCAAAAGGGAGTATTCCCAGGTAGAGAAACCTAGTTATTTAAAAACATAACCCCCAACAATAAACTTCTGTTAAATATGGGCCTGTAATGCCACATAAAAACTGGATCTCTTGTTTGTTTTCCAGTTTAGTGGGTGACTGTAATGCAGAACACATCCCTGTCATGTCTGAGTCCCTCTAGCTTAGTGTTGAAAAGGTAGAAGTTCTTTTATGCAGTAATGCTGTAGATGCAACTGCAGAGCATTCTGTAGCCTCTTACTGAGGCTCACTGCTGCAGGCTGATACCAAGAAATTGGGACTGATGTGTCTAAAGGAGGAAAATGCACAGGTATCTGCTGGGCTGTACATGAGAAGGGGAGTTATTGGCAATATTTTTTTTACTGTTAATAAATATACTGGGAGGAAAAAAGTTGTAATTCCAGAGAAATTCCTTGACTTTTATTTTTGTGTGCGTGTGTTTTTCCCCTCTGGAACATCATCCTAATTCTAAAAAAAGATACAGTGTTGGGGAACTGGCAGTATCTTCTGAAAGGATCTCAATCTAGAAATTCTTTGCATCACATATGGAAATGTTGGTACTGTTATTACCAACATGACTTTAAGCTGTGTGAGGGGGTAAACTTAGAACTTTTGATACATCAGTAAGTTCCAATCTTCAGCTTAAGCTCACAAGAAACTCTACTAAGATATTTTTGATTCCCCAGTGAAGGTGGTGTTTTCAAGGCTCATCTTACTTTTCCAAAAGACTATCCACTGAGGCCGCCAAAAATGAAATTCATCACAGAAATCTGGCATCCAAACGGTAAGAAATGTCACAGTTTAAGTTTCTTTCTGCAATTAAGAACTAAAATGCAGTGAAGACAAATGGATGTATTTCTGTTCATGTTAGAAATATGAAATTCTGTGTTTACTTTGCTATCTTCACTTAATAAATAAGTAATAACCATGGCAGAGTTTTTATAGTGCTGCTCTGAGAGGCTGTTCCTGAAGTATTTTCAGGAGCTACTGGAAGTAGCATGTTGAATTCTTGGTAACTGCTCAAGGATTTTATTTTTTTTTTCCCTAAGTGTGAAATTGTGGCCTGAGGAGAAACCTGACTTCTAAACCCTGCCTTTTGTTATACCTTCAAATATTTCACCTCACTATTACTAACTTGGCAGTTCAGTGTAGAAGGCCCAAGGTTGTCCCCTGGTGAAGCATGAAAGAATAGAACAGCATCTTTTAGTCCCTCCAAAGAAAACTCCTCCTAATGTTTCATTTACTTACAGACTGCTGGGCATAGATGGGAAGGCAGGATGAAACAGAAGAAGTTTTTTTTACTGGGAAGGAGGAATGCTCTTCAATTTCCTGCAGTCATCACTGAAGTTGTAAATGTTGAAAGCTGGGAGGAGACCAGCACAGTGCTCCCATCAGAAAGAACAGAGGGAATATTTTGATGCTGTGTTGGTTTCGGCTCTGGAAATACCAGACTACTTGTCAGACAGTTTCCAATTCCAGCAGTTTAAATCATACTCCAGTATACTGCAGGAACATCCAGCTGATGATGTTGCTGTGGAAGAAAGTCACTCTCTAGTTTGCTGACCTTGACAGAAAAAGCTTTAGTGGAAGTTTGTCTAAATAGTCCTGAAAGTCAGTGTGATGTTAGAATTAGGTTCTGCCTCCCCATGTGCCCTCTCTGCCCAGGCATAATAAGACCTCCACCAAGCCCTGTTTATTACAGATTGAGTTCTGTAACGGTTAATTACTTTCCTTTTCTATAAAGTGTCCTCACTAACATGTTTGCAGCCTGGCTGGGCTGAGGATGAGCAGTTCTGTGAGTGCCCTGAAGAAGTGCCAGCGTGTTGCTCATTGCTGAAATATGCCTTGTTCTGGTTTGCAGTTGACAAGAACGGCGACGTCTGCATTTCAATTCTTCATGAGCCTGGAGAAGACAAATATGGCTATGAAAAACCTGAGGAACGCTGGCTTCCCATTCACACAGTGGAAACTATCATGATTAGTGTTATTTCTATGCTGGCAGATCCCAATGGTGATTCTCCTGCTAATGTTGATGCAGCGGTAAGATTTTATTTGATTTTGTTCTTGGTCTGCCAATAGCCTTCAGTGTAGAAACCTAAACTTGCAGTGGAGCTTTGCTCTGGCTTGACAAACAACACAGTAACTTTTAGAACAACTTTTTATATTCCAGGCTAAGGCTCCTACATGCTGTCCTCTCACAAAAGAGAAGTTTTAGATCTTTTAGCTGGAGGAGTGAGGAAAAGAGGTGGTAATAAGATGCAGAGTTTCCTAGCAGAATGTTATCCTGCTCTAAATTAGCTATACCTTCCAAAAGCTTAGTTTCCTGAAGCCTTTGATCTGCTGTGCTGTTAGTATTTCCAAAGGTGGTTGAGCCCTGCTGAAAAATCTTCATGGGCATAGTCTCATATGGAACAAACTTAATGGGAAGAAAAACAAAACGAGAAGGTTTTAGTGAAGAATTCCCTTATGTAACATTCTTTTGATTGTTGGACCTTGCCTTCTTGTGTTGTGTTACTTGGTGGAAACCAATAGCCAGGACACATGGATGTTTTGTGCTGGCAAACCTGGGAGCACTGGAAGGAGCAAGTTATTAATGAAATGCTAAAAAGTACAATGAGAATTCCTCAGTTTACAAACTCATGTGTGTTGAATGTAGCTGACCTAACACTGGAGAAATCTTACACTTTCAGCTATGCTTGTCACCTTCCTAGCATCACAGGCCTTTGATTCTTTCTGGATTGTGCCCCACTCTCTGCCAGCTACTTCAGGAGTGATAGTTATTTGGCCTCAGAGAGGGACGTTAGCTAGAAAATTACTAATTAGCTACCTGAATTTGAACTAGTAGAAGTTGAAAATGTCTTAAGTACTAACACAGCATTTTCTAGGCCAGCTTGAAAGAACAAAGACTTAAATCCAAATCTGACTGTGAAGACAGTAAAATATCCCTCTGGATACTAGGAACTTGTTTTTCTGACTGTGATATGAGGCATTCCAAGTAACTTTTGAACTAAACGTGCTGCTTGAACAGCTTAACATCTGCTGGACTGGAGATCAGATCTTTGTATGAACCAAGTGTACTCATTGGGGTGATAAAGAGTCAGCAGCTCATCTGCTCTATTCCAAGCTGGTGTCAGGATGTCTTCTACTTGGTTTACAAAGTACAAGTTTACTGCAGGAACAGTATTTACCAGTTACTAAAAGATACTTTGTCTTCTTTCCTTAATTTCTAGTTTTAAGTGAGCCTAGAGAATAGGTGTTAGTCAGGTCACAGCTTTATAGGAGCAGGGGATATATGTGATTCCTGGAAAAATGCACTATGCATGTTGGAGTGATGGCTCTTGGAGTGGGAGAAAAATGAGGGGCAGGACCTGAATAGATATTGTGAGAAGCAAATAGAACAGCTCCTGACCTAAAATAAGAGTTTTTGAGAGATTGTTGTCAAACTGGAAACTTTGCTTGCTATTCAGTTCTGAACACTGGCTTCATAGATAAAAGATGGAAACAAAACTGAAGAATCTGAAGCTAGCAGGGCAAAACTTCAATGCTTTTCTTGGCCTTCAGCCCTCTTGTGTAAGCTGTCCCAGTCCAAGGAACCAAATGCTTGCTGTATTAATTGCTGAAAAAGAACAAATTAATTAGTAGCCTTACTTGTGCTTTTGCTGGGAAGATAAGACCTGCTGGGTTTTCCAGCGTGCTGACTGGCTAGGTGAGCTTGGGGGTGGTAAATGTGAAGCTATACCAGTTACCCTAATTCTCTCTCACTCAGATAGGCTACAACCTTCCCTCTGAGTAGGGCTGGAAAGGTTCTAGCCTGCTTCAGGTCAGACTGTGGTGGTTGGTTGGCTTTTTTTAACCTTTCCCTCACCCCTGCAGTTAAGAGTACATTGCTTATATCAAAACCTAAGAACTGTAGAACTCATATGGAGAAGAAAGGGACTCTTCATATTTTCCCAGCCCTTGCCTAGCTGTTAGGCAGTGCCCAACATGCCAGCCTTGGTCACATCACGCAGTGCTCCTCTGCTTTCCCCTGAGCTTGTCATCAGGCTGGCACAAAAATCCTTCAAGTGGTTTCCTGGCACTTTCCTGTGCATTTTTGTGATACCAGGATGTGCACATCCCAGGCTCAGACTTTCTTCTTGCTGATCATCCTGTTCATCTTTATCTTGATTCTTCATTTATGCCCTTCTGAAGTCAGATGCCTGTCACAGAGACCATCCCCCTAGGTGTGTTGAGTGTTCTGTTAAGTCTTCCTTGTGCAGCCAATATCTTGCAGCTATATCTAACTAGGAGGTGCATTCTTTCTGAGGACACTGCTGTGCCTCATCTGAATCCTGTGACTTCTGCATTTCTATCCTGGAATGTCCTGGCTAGACTGAGAGGGAGTTGAAACTCCTAAAAAAATCTCTGAAGAGCTCCTGGCTCCACAGAAGCTGTGTACCTTTCTTCATCACTGCAGTTGAAGACTTTTTCTCTAACCCCTAACAATAGCTTGTGCTCTGCAGTTTGAGTTTGCTGGTACTTTCATCTACTTACATCTACTTACATCTACTTGATGGAAGTAGATTTCAGCCTAGACATTGTGAAATAATGGTAGCCACCAGGTTAGTCTTGAAGAATGCCTGGAACCCAAGGGAGAAAGGCTGTGACCTCGCTCTTAGGAGCAGCTTGCACAGAAATCCTGAAGGAGCTTTCAAAAGTCCTGAATGCCACAGGTTTTCATTGACTAGGTCAATGACTGTAAGTGAATTTAGGTGTTGACTAGATGGCTGGTGTTTGAAAAAGTAAACACCAAGAGTTGCTGGAACTTGTATACTGTAATAGGGCTGACATCTGAAAGCTGTCTATTCAATTACAGAAAGAGTGGAGAGAAGACAGAAATGGAGAATTTAAAAGAAAAGTTGCCCGCTGTGTAAGAAAAAGCCAAGAAACTGCTTTTGAGTGACACTTATTCAGCAGCTAGTAGCTTCACTTTTTTCAGGGTAAGTATCCTTCTGGAGACAAGTCAGTTACCTGAGTTGAAGTTTTCATGCCTACCTGTTGCTGAATTTATTTTCTTTTTTCTCAAAAGCAAACAAACCCCAAACCGTTCTTCTCAGCTGCCTGGCCTCAGAGGAATTCTTTGGCTGTATGTGATACTAAAGACAAAGAATTTTCAAGTGCAGTAACAGCACCTCCTGCCAAGATTGGGGAATGTCTCTACTACTCTTGCATTTATGCTGTTCAGAAGTTGAACTTCTCTTTATCAGCATTCATCCTGCTTTATTAGTAGTGCTCACAGGGTGCTAGAGCTATAATAGAAGGGAGTAATCCTTCTTTCATGTTCAGTATTGTGAAAAATACTTGTTTGAATCTTCAGAGCATCCTGTTGGGCTATCAAGTTTTTATACATATATATATACACACACAGAGTTTTTCTTGCAGGCATTGGTGCCATGCTGCATGCAGGTTTTAAATAAGACTTCAGTGAGGTTGTTTGGAACCATTTGGAAAAGATTGCTTCAGTTGTCTGTGGGAATTCTGTTAGAAAGTCTACGAGCATATCAGAAGTGATCAAGCTGAGATATTGCCCATTAGCAGTGCCAGGAAAGATGGGGTTGTGTTCTGTGGCCCAGAAGACTTTTTTTTTTAACTGAAGGAGGCTTAGGAATAGCTTCAGTAAAACAGCTGACTTCTGGAAACCAAACTGTAGCATATCTGAGAGCATGGACAAGTTTTAACCTGGGTGTAGCTGACGTGATATTTGCACTTTATGCCACCCTCTTAAAAATGAGGCTCTGACTCATATTTTTGCTCTAATGGGACTTTTTTTTTCCCAATGAGCTCTTTCAGAAAGCTCTGCATTAAGGCATGGTGCTTAAATACCTGGCCTTTGGTCACTTTAATCTTGGTGTGCCAAGGAAAAACTTCCTCAACTAGATAATAATTTCCCACTCTTTCTTTTCAAAGCAAAACAGAGCTTCATGTTGAAGCTGTGCTTTCTTAATGGTTGGTTTGGCAGATAAACTACTCTGACCTGTCTGGCTGGAGGAGCCCCAAACTGTATGTACTAGTCAGCTGCAGAGTACAAAACCTGGCAGGGTGGGAGAGGTAATGGCACTGTATGTAGCTTAAAAGGGTTGTGCTGTCTGCTAGAACAGCTTAGTGGGTGCTCCTGCTAGTTAATTGTTCTTCACCAGGGCTATTGAGGAGATAATTCCTTTAAGAACTGTAGGGGTTGGGGAAGGCTCCATCTGTGACAGACTGGTACTGCAGTATCTTGCCTTGATTGAACAGGACTTTCTCTATTCTAAAGAAAGCATGAAAAATGCTTAGTAGTGATCAAAAGACTAAGCAGAGGAACTGAGTGTCTCATACAACTGCCTATAACCAGAGTGTAAGAACTGTTAATGCAGCTGACATTTTTTCCTCCCTTAGAGAAAGGAAATAACTGTGAGTAGTGCTCCAGAGTATCCTTAACTAACCCCAGCTCTGTTGCCAGGTTCAGCTTGGCCGTAGCGAAACAATGCTCAGGACAAATCTCAGTAATTGGCCGTGTTGCTTTTCTGGGAAGGGAAAGCTTTTTCTAAGTCCTGGTGACTCCTCCTAAGTAAGTGCTGGGCGATGAGTTGGCTGGGCAGGGGGCACAGAGCTGGTTTCAGACAGGCAGCCTGGCGTGGGTTTGGTGGCTGTGGGGGCACGGGCGCGGCGCCGTGCCGCGGGGTTCTGCTCCTCACACTCCAGTAAGTGATGCACAGAAGATTCAGTGAGGAACCTACAGGTGTCTGGCCCTCTGTGTGAATGATCAGACGTGCACACACTGTGCACTTGCCAAGCAACACAAGTGCACGAGCCTGAAAGTCTGATAGTTGAGCTGAACTAACTCAAGCCTTTCTCAGGTGATGATTTTGGATTTATGCCTCTTCTGTGTAGAGGTAGGTAAAGGTTTTGCACAGGTAATGATGATCTTCCTTGAGCTTGAAACACTATTTAACATCTTTAAAACAGAGGATGATGAGGTGCTTCATTTTAATACCTGTGATTTCTTTGTAGGTCTCCAATTGAGAAACATGGCACTGTTTTTTTTCCTGCACTCTACCCACCTATTGCTGGACTTCTGTTGTTACAAGTTGGCAAACACTGGCTGGAACTGGGCTGCAATAAAACATGCCAGTTATCAATGCTGACAAGAGCCTAACAAGTGCCAACACAAGATGATTACGCATTTTGAAATCTAATAAACTGCTTTAACCTTCAGGAAGAATTGTAAAGATGTGTACATAGCACAACATGATCCGGATAATATATATACTGTTCATGTACATCCACAAATACACATTGTACCAAATAATGCTGTCTGTAGTTAGGAATAGAATAATGTAAATTCTAAAGATTTTAGCAGGTTTTTCTCTCCCTGTTCATTGTTTCCTATCAGTTTAAGAAAAAACAAAACCAACACAACTTGTGAAGCATGTCAAACTAAAACCAATTAGGATAAAGGGTTTTTTATTTTATTTTTTTTCACCCCCCCCTTTAATTTTCCTTTGACCCTCTGAGGCTTAATTAAAATCTCTTGCTTATTAAAGTTTAGTATAATCTTTTCTGGTTTTTGGAAATGTGCTCCCTTTTATTTCCCCCATCAGAACTTAAAATTTTCCTAATTAAACCCTGAAAGGATTTGCTATCAATTACTTCTGTCTTCTTCTATGATGACCTCTGTAGTATCAAAGGTGCTTTTTTTTTTTTTTTTTTTTTCCCCTTCCCACCCCTTTTTTAAACCCAATTGCACATACTTCTTGAATTGGGTATAGCAATAAAACTGGCCATGGAGCACCCTTGAGCAGCAGCCTGCTGGATTTTTAACTTCCAAGGGACTTGAGTGCTTTCACTTGGAAGTTCAGTTGACTAAGTCAATCCAAGATAGGAATGAGCTGCTTTTTTGGGTGATACTTTTCTTTTTTTTGCATTTTTCATTGCCTGTTTGTGGGGTGGGGTGTGTGTGGGGGAGGCTTGGTTTTTTTCTCAAGGTTGAGTTGAAGCATGCACAGCTATAGGCTTTCAAATGACTAACTTCTGGGTTTGGTATAAAAAATAGTTTCCCTCCTTTTCCCTTTTCTCTCCTCTGTGGCCCTTCATATTCTTTGCCTTCTACTTCAGAGTTTTCCTCACCTACTGTACAAAGAGAATTGCGATGTATATTTTCATGTAATTTGATTTTTGGAATTCTGTCACCTTCTGTAGTGAGTTCTTCCAAAATATAATTTTTTCCAATAATAATGTGTCAAACTGGCTGTCTTGAGTATCTGAATAGGAAGGGTACCTGCAGTTGGAGCACAACTTAACCTGAACATCTTCAACATAACATCAGCAAACAGTAGTTGAATTTTACATTCATTATTTCAAGATGAAACAGAGTAAAAGCAAACAAAACACACACGTTGCCCCATATTGTAAACCTCTTTGGCTAGACAGGGAGCAAATATTCATCTTTGCCTACCTGGTAACAAGTTTTCCAAGCCTGCCTGAAATCCCTTTTTAGAGGAACTTGCACCTATTTCACTGTTCTGCTGGGTCATGGGATTACTGTGGCGTCCACCAGCACAGAGTAGCCCACTAATAAATGAAGAGGTCCAGCATTCACAAGTCTTCTCATAAGAAGCCTTCAGTGCTTGTTTGGTAGCTGGCCCGACTTGGTTTCAGGTTGCTGTGCACTGTGCATATACTCAGAGGTGTGTAGTGCAGGTTTCTTGAGGGGTGGGCTGGAAGAAGGGGATGGTTAGTGGTGAGACAGCCATACAGGACACAAAAGCCATTCAGTAAGTGTATGACTTACCAGTAAGGGTATTGCTTCCTCCTGCAGGTGGTTTTGGCAAACAGATATTTAATGTCTGCGTTTACATATTTGGTAACTTGTTATCTGGAGGAATCATTAGCTACATTTGCTTTTAATTGGATGGCATGCTCCTGTAGGCAGGCAGATGTGTGCGGGAGCTGTTAGTGCCTAGACACAATAGCTGATTTTAGTTCCCCTTTGAGTGCTTGTCTGAAATTGCTTGGGAGGAGATTTCTTACCCACTAGCTGACGACCCTTTTTCACTGATGTAAGAGTTGGGACTGTGCTGCATCTCAGTGGCATGGTGCCATTCTTTCCATAAACAAAACAGCGGGAAGAAGCTCCTCTTCCTAAGCCTAGCAGTGGACTTCTCCCCCACCCCCCAGCTGCCCTTCCTCTTCCCTCTCCACAGTGTATCTAAAGGGCTGGCAGCAAATCAACATAATGGGTACATGCTGCTTTCAGCAAGTTCAACAACAGTGTTCTGTTTTGTCTTCCTGAGTAACACGTGCAGTTCACAACTGATGTGTCTGTGAGCTTGTTTAAAGCTTTATTTTCGTTGGTGCTCCGAAGAGCCGCTTGTTTGTTCTTTCAGGGGTGGGCCTGGAAACGTTAGTCTTGCATCATGGTGTGGAAGAACTATTCGTTCCACAGCAGTGCTGGTTCCCCTCATTGTATATTATTAAAACATACACCACTTCTGCTTGGCTGGCCCAGATGGTTTGTGGTTCCCCACGACCCAAGTGCTCCGAAGGAAGGAGCGGTGCTGCGGGATGCTGCCGACCTACAAGCTGCAGGTATGGCTGATGCCCAATGACTTCATCCAAGAGGCAGCTTGGGGGCTGCTGCCAAGTGTCCAGGTTGTAGAAAGCCTCTGGCAGGCACGGCAATGGCTTGGGTTTTGTGTGATCACAGTTGGCTTTTGGTATACTCCTGCCCCAAATGAGAGGGATCTGGTTAGGACAACTACTGGTACAACCAGAAATTTCTGTGTAGCCTCAAGCTCGGAATGCCTCTGAAGAGATGCAGTATGTGTGAGTAGCACTACAGTGCTTGTTGGGTAATCAAATAAACCAGCATCTGACCTGGTTTGACTTGCATGGAGCTCTTGTGTGGCTTAGCTGATGCAGGCTGCCAGCACACAGCGATCGATTGCACCTTTTCTGGTTCTCCGGAAGCTCCTAACTGCAGCTGAGGTTTTGTGCTGGTTTTTTCCCCCCAACACATGGTGGTCTGCTGTCCAGGTACCACTGCACCTTTGGGGGAGAAGGAAAAGAAAAGCATGGGATTTTAATAAACATCAAAGCAGTATGGCCATCCTAGTTCCTTTTTTGTATTTCTCCATGCTGCCCTTTATGCATCAGAGAAGATGATCTAAGAATCAGAAGGGCTGCTCAGCTGTCATGCTAATATTCTTTCCTGCTGTGATGCCTACCAAATGCTTATTGAAACTAGACAATCAATAAATGGAGAACATTAATTCTGAAGTGATTAGAAGTGTAGTTTGGGTTTTTTTTTGGTAGGCTGATGGGGGGTGGACTTTTTATTGCGCCTGCACCATCTGGTGCCCTGCTCTTGGCACAGTGCCATCACCACGTCTCACAGCTCCTGCCCCTCTGTGGAGCCACAATTTCCAGTTTTCAAACCAAACTCAAAGGTGCTTGGGTTTTAAAGAGAGGCTGGAGTAAGACAGCTTCCTGCCCAGGCAAATCCTCCACAGAAGCTGAGATTGCAGCTTCCCCAGGTACAAAACAGCAGTTTGTGTGAAATCTGATCTCAATTTACTCAGAAATTCAGGTCAGAGTAAATCCAATCAGGCAGTAAAAAGTGTTTCCTTGCAGCTACTCAAGATAATCAACAACAGGCATAAAACAGTGGTGTGAACTAGCTACCTGGCAAAGTCTAGACATTTGTCGTTGAGCTCTGTTGTGTCTCATAATACCTCCAGAAACTACAGTCTGGCTCTCCTAGGTCTAAGCCTCGCTCTGGTTTGGCTGTTCTATCCAACAGGCACAGAAAACTAAGATGGAAAGCAGAGATTTCAAAGGTCACTTGACGGTGAAGTCAAACTGTATCTGTAAAACAATACTGTGCATAACGTTCAAACATTTATTTGAAATTTGGTCTTTAAGGCAACCAAATTACTGT